GTGGTGCATGCCTGTAATCCCAGCACTGGGGAAGCTGAATACAGGAAGATCACTACGAGTCCAAGATGCGCAGTGAGACCCTGACTAAACACATAAAAAAATAAATCAAATCAGATTATCTGATTGAAGTTATCTAGGTTGATGACTGTCAGTCTGCCAGAGCTGCTGTAATAACACCGATGAAAATTTTATTTCCTCACCCTCTGAGAGGATAGAGGTCAAAACTGAGATGTTGGCAGGGTTGACCAGATGGCCACCTTTTCAGTGTGCCTCCCGTTGTCTTATGTCTGTGTGTGGGCATCTGTGGTGTCTCTTCCACTTCTTATAAGGACATTATTTCTGTTGGGTCAGGTCCCCACTGGGTGACTGACTGCCTTTAACCCTGATTACCTGCCAAAAGACCCTGTCTCTGGGTCCCATCACATCCTAAAGTTCTGGGGCTTAGAGTCGCAGCACATGAACTCTGGGGAGGCACAGCTGGGTCCCTAACAATGGAACACCATGGTTCACAGCATTCTGTACAATTCTTTTTCTCTTTAGGGCTAATGATGGCCCCTCTTTCATTCTTAATTTTAATAACTTTCTCTCTCTCCCTCTCTCTCTCTCTCCCTCTCTCTCTCCCTCTCTCTCTCTCCCTCTCTCTCCTTCCCCCTCCCCCATCATTCTAGAATCAAAGGAAGAGTTAAAAGAATTAAAAATGTGTACCACTCGAAGAACAAACTTTATATTTGCTAATTTCCGCAATTGTTTCTTATTCATTTCTTTCCTGTTATTTTTATTCATTTCTGCTTGCTGTGGACTCAGTTTGTTCTTCTATTTTGAGGTCTTAATATAGGTATGTGCAGCCACACATTCCCCTCTAGGTCCACATGGCCCCCCTTGGCCACCAGTTACACCTCCCTGGATCCCACAGCTGCATGTTTTGCATCCACAGATTTAAGCAGCTGCTTATCAGAAATATACAGGAAAAGCCAGGTGGGATGGCTCAGGCCTGTAATCCCAGTGCTTAGGAGGCTAAGCCAGGAGGATTGCTATGAGTTCTAGGCCAGCCTAGGCTACGAAGTGAGTTCAAGACCAGACTGTGCTATGGAGTGAGACCCTGTCTCAAAAAAAAAAAAAGAAAAAAATCAGTTGTATTGAACATGTACAGACCTTTCTCTTGTCATTATTCTCTGAACAATAAAGTTTCATACCTATTTATATTGCGTTACAGTGAGTTACTCTGTATTATAAGTGACATAGAGTTGGTTTATAGAAGGGAGCATGTGTGCAAGCCTGAGGTACACACTACTGCACTTTGTGTACGAGGACTGAACATCCACACATTTCCCTTTCTTCTGGGTCCTGGAGCTGCTTCCCTCAGATGAGAGATGACTGAATGTCTTTAGAGGCATCCCATAGGTTGTGTTTAATTTTAATTTATCTTAAAATGATATCTGATTTTCCTTGTACAACTTTATTTTTTCTTTATACATAATTGTCTCAACAAAGTCTATTGAACAGGTCATCTTCATTGCTGATTTGAATGCTGTATTTTTCTTATACTAAATTCTCATGTGGGGCTGGCATGATAGCTCAGTGGCCTAAGCCCCTGCTTAGGCAAGCACAGCGACTGGGATTTGATCCCCTGCATTACATACCATGCCAGTCCCGCCCACAGGCGCACTGAGACAGGTGTGCTGAGCCAGTCACTGAGACCACAAGTAGTGGCGCACACCTGTAATCCCAGTGCTGTGAAGGCTGAGAAAAGGAGAATCACTACAGTCTGAGCTGTGTAGTGAGACCCTGTACCAAATACATTTTTTAAAAATTCTCATTTGTATTCACATCTATTTCTTGCTGTCTTTTTTTCCATTACTTTGTTTGTATACTAATGTACCAATACCACAGTGTTTTATTCAGTGAGATTTTTAAACATATATCATCCTTTGAACCTCTCCTCCTTTCTCTGATTTTTCAGAATAGGTTTAGCTATGCTTGTCTATATATTTCTGTATATCAACATTATATTTGCCAGTTAAAACATTCTAATAATCCTAACAGTAATTTTAATAATATCTAAAACTGTTAGTATTTTCCTAGGACCACATTAAATTTATAAATTAACAGGCTGATTGGCATCTATTAACATCTGAGTGTTCTTGGTCAGAACATTATATGTCTTCACATTTGTTCAGGACTATTTTCATGATCTTCGGAAATATTTTTTATTTTAGACAAGATTGGGCATGTTTAGGGTGGTATGGCCATGGACAATATATTTTTTATTTTAAGGGGCCCAGGATATAGCTCAGCAGCTTAAGCACCTGCCTGGCAAGTACAAAGTCCCAAGTTTGATCCCTGATATCAAAGGAAAAGAAAAGAAATACTTTTTATTTTTAAAATGTTTAACTTTTATTTAGTTACTTATTTAGTTTTGGTACTGGGATTGACTTGTGCTTGCCAGGTAGGTGCTTAAGCTGCTGAGATATCTCCTTGGCCCAATATGAATTTTTTTTTTTTTTTTTTGGCAGTACTGAGGATTGAACTCAGGCCCTTGCGCTTGCCAGGCAAGCACTTATTCTACTGAACCATCTCCCCAGCGCCCCAATATGAAATTTTTAAACATAATAAAAGAATAATATAGTGAACTATCACCATGTTTCTGCCACCCAGCTACAACATCACCAGCACATGGTGATTATTATTTAGTATTACTTATTCTGTTAATACAAGATAGTATGTATAAAATAATACAAAGTTTTCTGATATAGTCATATACATTTCTTATTAAGCTTATCCATAAGCATTTTATCTAACTGTGGGTTATTATTTATTTATACATGAAAACATTTCTATGCTTTCATCTTATGACTCTGTACTATTATTATTATTTTGGTTTTTTTGGCAAAACCCGGGGTTGAACTCAGGCCCTTGTGCTTGCCAGACAAGTGCTTATTCTACTGAGCCATCTCCCCGGCCCCTATTTTTTAAATATTTGTCCTCATTTGAATTGAATTACTGTTCCTCATAATTTGTCAAAGACCTTGCCTACGTATTTACCTGGACTATTTATTAGGAATATGCTAAAACTGAGTGCACTAAAGAGCCTGCTTAGGCCAGCTTAGCAAGAGCAGGCACCCCAGTTTGATCCCCAGCACCACGTGCTGTGCCAGCCCCACCCCCAGGGCAGGCTGAGCCAGCCACAGAGTCCGTGCTATGGAGGCTGAAAATAGGAGGATCACTATGAGTCTGATCTGGGTAGTGAGACCCTGTAACCACCAAATACATTTTTTTTTTACCAAATACATTTTTTTAAAAATAAAATTTAAAAAAATTGCAGCTATAAACTGGTCAGGAAGCTACCAATCCTGTTCCACGCAACATGGGATTGTGGCCAGAACCATAATAACCCACCTGTGTCTTGGCCCAGCAAGCTTCCCTGGGATTTCTGTCCTGAAGGCTGTGGGAAGACAGGCGAAGCCTGGGCTGCCTTCTGTCTCCCGCAGCTTTGTCGTGGTGTACAGCGAGCGCTACTCTTCGGGAACCTGAGCAACTCTCCCTGGTGATCACCTAGGTCAGGCCCTGAGTTAACAGTTCTAAGCCATCAGGGGACCGTTACGTTCATTTTCATATTCTTACCAGCAGCCCTGATTTGATGAGTCAGGTATCGGTCGTGATGGTAAAAAATAATTCTTTAGATGACTTCTAAATAGCACCGTGGTATTGTTCTTTAGATCGCTTTGTTTTTCAGACTCACAGAGTTTAAACACACCCTTTGAACACTTTCCTGTCATTAACTGACACAGCTGTTGTGCCAGAGCAAACTGGGGTCTTGGGAGCTTTTATTCAATAAGGAAAACTTACGTATTTATTTATCTGTTTGTTCGTTTATTGCCTTTTTGAGACAGGGTCTCACCATGTGGTTCAGGCTGGCTGTGAGCTCATGCTGTAGCCCAGGCTGGTCTCGAACACACAGTGACCTTCTGCCTCAAGTTCCCCAGTGCTGGGATTACACATGTGTGCCACCATGCCCAACATAATGGGAAAACTTCTTTTGGCTTGAGGTGTGTGCGTGCACACACATGCACTGTACTAGGGATTAAACCCAGGACCTTGCACACACTAGGAAAGCACACACGACCACTGAGCCATGTCCCCAGCACTTTTTTTTTTTCCTTTGCAGATCCGAGGATTGAACTCAGGCCCTTGCACTTGCCAGGCAAGCGCTTATTCTACTGAGCTATCTCCCTGGCCCCTTTTGTTTTTTATTTTAAGACAACGTGTCAGTATGTTGCCTAGGCTGAGCTTCAAGTGTGATCCTCCTGCCTTAGCCTCCTGCGTGCCTGGGATAACACAGGCATGTACCACTGTGGCTGTCTTGGCTTGCAACTTCGTTTGCTGTAGCCTTTCTCTGAAATTACATGTGGTATTCCTGTGCTGAATTAATTTCTGACACCAAATAGTGGCTTGCTTTTGGGTGCACCTGTACTGTGATGAATCAACACCAGTTTATTAAAAGAATTAGAGCAACTTCCAGAGAAAATATTTTCTCCTAGATTGCATTACTTGTTTGTATGATACTTCTTGAATTAAAAAAATTCATAGAGATAAACATATCTCATTAAAATACAGTGTTTGGGGATATATGAAGCTTTGATGTGGAACATATCCTGATGACGGGTCACTTGGATTTGACTAAGTCAATGACTCCTGCTACCTAATGAAGCCATCCCTGGCTCACAGAGTTGTCATAGGGACCAAGTGAATTAACTCATGTGAAATACTTAGGACATCATGTCTTCTCGAGAGTGTTAAATAAGTAATTAAACCTGACTACAGAGAAGCTGACCTTTCTGAAATATCAGACGAGTTTAAGGAAAGAACTGGAATTGTAGCATTCTGCTTTTTCTCAGCTCACCTTTCTTAAATGACCTTCTTTCCCACATCCATAATGCTGTTACTCATTTAAACAGTCTCTCTCTCTTTTAATTTATTATTTTTTAATCTCCTTTTTAAAGATTCTCCAGTTCTCAGTCCAGCTAGTTCTGCAATCAACTTAAGTGGCGCTCAGGACCTGACCCGGAATAAGAATATTGTGAAACCACTGGCTTTATCTTTGCAGACGATGGGGAAGACTTTTGGCCCAGGTGATGTCCCTTACTTACATTTCTTGGGTAAATGCATAATTTGTGAAGGATGTGTGTGACGTCTGTCACCACTCGATATTGCACCAAGCTTTGTGTTCTCTCTGTGCCAAACAGAGGTCAGAAGCACATGTGCTGCCCCGGAGAGATGCTGCAGCTGAGTCTGTTCAAAACACAGGTCTCGGGCACCTGCTGTGACTAGCACTATGAAGCAGGCAAAAAGTGTTTAGGATTTTAGGAAATAAAAACAAATATTCTAAAGCCAGTATTTAGGATATAAAAACAAGGCATAATGCAAGTGAGGATCCCAAGTATCCTTGCAGTCTGCTGAGGGAGAGAGGTCTGTAACGAGGCACCTTCAATCCTCAATATTTCAGGAGTAAGCAGGAGTGAGGTTTTGGAGGAGTTTGGGCTTCAACAGCAACAAGACAGAAGAGTGGAGGAAAAGGCATCTAAAATTCAAGGATAAGGAAGAAAAAAAAGGTTAAAGGAAAAAGGAGGGAAAGGAAAGGGGAACAAAAGCGTAGTGAGTGCCAGGACTCCCAGCACTTGGACTCATGAGAATCACGAAGTGCTCAGGGCAGAGATGGGCAAGAGGGGAGGAGGAGAGAGCCACGGGAGGTCAGGCGAAGAAGCACTTTTACCCTGTAACTCACGGGAAAGCGGATGACAGCAGTCTGGCTTGCACTTGTGCTACATCCTTTTGGCAGCCACGTGTATGACTCTAAGGGGGAGGAAAGCTAGCTGGACATCATTTCGGGAGGCTGAGTGAGAAAGAATGGGGTCATTGGCCAGAGAAATGGGCCGGAGTGGAGGAGGCAGATTGGAGAGCTGCCAGGGAAGAAAAATCAACAGCACCTGAAGTAATGTCAGGAAGCGCCTTGGTTAACAAAGCTATCAGGGGCTAGGGAGATAGCTCAGCAGGTTAAATGCCTGCCTGGCAGGCACAGTGACCCATATTGGATCCCTGGTACCGCACGCTAAGCCAGCCCTGGAACCCTGGGTGCATCAGGCTGGCCACCGAAACCAGGCATGGTGGTGCATGCCTGTAATCCCAGTGCTAGGGAGGCTGAAACAGGAGGATCACTACAAGTTTGAGCTGTATAGCAAAACCCTGCACCAAATAAATAAATGAAAGATTTAAAAAGTTTAAATTTTTAAAAAAGCCATCAAATGAAAGGCTGATTAGCTTCATAATGTGAGGGTTAGTCCGGCAATTCTTTAACCCTCTAATTACTCTTAATAACATAAGAGAAGAGAAAACTGGTCATTATGTGGCTCCTCGCAGGAGTGAACAATACAGAATCCTTTTGCCAGAAAAAAGGGGAAAAATGGCTTTGATCAAGCCTCTGTATCTGTTTGCTTATTGCTCATTGCTACAGGGGACAAAGAAACACTAACTGACACATTAGGTATCCAATCAGCAAAATCCTGGAAATGGAACATTCTGCCAGATTTGCAGAATGAAAGAAAAATGAATTATAAGAAAAAAAAAAAAAAAGAAGGGGAACCCTATAGATTGAAAGAGGTTTAAGGGATATATCAACTAAATTTAGGGGTATAAATTTTTTTGAATCTCAATTTAAAAAAATAAGAGCTCTAAAAACCATTATGGAATAACTGAGAAAAATTGGAAGACTGATGGGATGATTGATATTAATAATCAGGGGCTGGTGAGATGGCTCAGTGGTCTAAAGCACCTACTTAGAACAAGCTTAGCAAAGCACAGGGACCGCGGTTCAATCCCCCAGCACCACATGCCAGCCAACCCCACCCTCTGGTGGGCTGAGCTGGCCACACACACACACACACACACACACACACACAAACATATTAATAATCAGTGTTATAATTTTATATGTAGTAATAACACATTAGAAGTACATCTTTGAGGAGAAAATGTTCTTGGAGTAACACATGTAGAAGTACTTATGGATGAAATTATATGACAAACGGGTTTGCCTCTGAATGCCCCAGAGCATGTATGTGTGCGTGTGCAGGGGAAAGAGGGACAGGGCAGAGAAGAAGTGTTGGCTTTGTGTACAGAAACGGTGACACTGCGTGTGGGTAGGTAGACGTTTATTGTGCCGTTTTCCCGCCCTTTGCAAATGTTTGAATTTTTCTGTGATGCAGAGTTAAAACAATAATAATAATAGTTTTCCCTCATTCCGAAGACTCCACTGAAAGTCATTCTGTCGCCAGGCATGGCGGTGCACGCCTGCAGCCCAAGCGCTTGGGAGGGCGAAGGCCAGCCTGGGCAGCACAGTGAGTCCCCTGCTTTCTGCAGAGGTGCCTGCCGCCATCTGACCTACCTCACCCTTGAGGATTCAAGGAAATCTCGCAGCCAGTCACGTACTACACAGCAAGACCTCAGTTCAAAAAAGCCAAAGGGAAAAAAAATGATTCTGAAAAGTCCCTTGGGATCTTAGAAAATGGCTCTCAGAAAATGTATTCTTTTAGTTGACATCCACGACACCTAAGGACAATGGAGGCAGTGGGTGGGTGCTCTACGTGACTGGGTCGAGGCCTGTCGGCGCTGTCTACTCGAATCCTCCAGAGCGAGGCTGATGGAGGGCAGCAGCACGCAGAGCGTGTCCTCCCTCCGGTGTGAGCAGCTTCTTTCCCGTCCCGCAGACGCTGCCAATGGGAGCGGGAGCCTTGCAGGGAAGCCGGCGCCCAGCTTCACCCCAGCCCGCCCCGGGAGCTACTCCTTGTCACCACGACCCAGCTACGCAGCTGTAGACCAAGGTACAGCACCCCCTGGAGTTCTGCTCTGGAGCAAGGCAGTGGAGCCGCTACAGATTTCTGAGCGATCTCACACACACTCTGGAGATTTTCCTTTGCTTGTCGTACAATGTCTTGAAAGTTTTAGGGCCAGCTAGATAGCTCAGCAGGCTAAAGCGCCTGCTTAGGCAAGTGCGGGGACTAGGGTTCGATCCCAAGGCCTACTGTGCTGGCCTCACCCCCTGGGCGCCCTGAGACAGCGGCGGACACAAGCCTGTAATCCAAGCACTTAGGAGGCTGAAAACAGGAGGATCATTACAAGTCTAATCTGTGTAGTGAGACCCTGTAGTCTCTGAATTAAATATATTTTTTTTAAGTTTATGCTTAGTCTGAATGATCATATTTAAATATCTCAGTGACTTTGCCTGGCAGAGCCTACCTGGTAGTAAATGTTGAAACAAATGTATAACAAAACATCTTTAAAAGTCATGGATTTGGCTGACCAGGCTGCAGGACTCAGTTTTCCTCCTTGTATGTTATTCCTCCAGGCGTGACACTTGTCCTGCAACTTCACAGAGTTGGTTATAGAATCAAATGAAATAATCTGAATAAAATTGTAAAACAGTATATAGCTTCTTAGGTGTCAGTAGTATGGTGCTGGATTGGTTGATGTGCCTTTTTCCAACTTTATTTTTACCTCCAGAAGAGTAGCTTAGACTGGAATAAATCAAAGTAAAGACCCTGTGTCACTTTGGCATTCACTTTTCTTCCAAGTTATGGAAGATGAAGCTATCTTTCTTTTTGTCTTCAGCTGCCATGTTCACTTCTGGGCCACCAAAGAAACGGCACCGGGGATGGTGTCCCGGCTCCCCTGTCCCCCAACCTGGTTTAGTTGTACCTGTTCCTACAGTTCGCCCCCTTTCAAGAACTGGTAAGATTTTAACAAAAGATAGATTTTAAAGTTTTTTCTTTTGTTAAGCTAACAAGGATGTCTTCTAGTCCCATTCTTTCCCTGAACTCTGGAGGGTGAATTTCCGTCCTGGCATCCAAAATTTTGTAAGGACATTGACAACAGCTAATATTCTGTCCCCGACACAACCCCTTCCCTACAAGCACATGTGCCACCACAACTGACCTGCCTCTGGCCTTCGGTGCAGTCCTAATCCGTGGCGTGAGAAGCCATTCCCAGAGCGCTACATCTGCCCTTCAGTGCCCTGGGTCTGGAGGTGACGTGTGCTTACCACTCCTGGCCTGCGTGCTTCTGTCCGGGGCTGGAATCTGCAGGACCACCCTGCTCTCCTTCCTGCTCCAGTTAAATATTCAACTGTTTGTCTGCCTTGTACTAAATATATGATTTTGAAGACACAGTGAGATTCTTTAAAACCTTAAGTTTGCGTAAATAAATAATTTTTGAAGACCTCAGCGATCTTATACACACAGAGAACGATGCCAGTGAGTTAACTGTTTTTCTCGGAGTGGGACTGAGTAATGATGGAGCTGTCTGTCTTCATGTTTGTCTGAACGTTCCAAGGGCTGTACAATGGGCACATAGACTTTTCATAACCTAGGGAGTGGGGAGAAAGATACCAAACAAGCCCTAAAGGTCGTGTATGGAAAAAGAACTAGAATAAAAACTATTTAATGCCAAATCGTAGTTCTCTCCCAGTGATATGAGCGTGGTTAGTTTTCTTCCCTTTGTTTTGCCTACTCATAATTTTGCATAATATACATTAACTACTTTTTTAAAAAAATACAAAACCATTAGATTTATAAAACTTCTGTACTCATAAGTTGAAAACCACATTGTTTTTCACTGTATTTCCTTCAGCTTTCATGTCTAATCCTTTTGTTAAACAACTTTTTTTCCAGAACCCCTTTTATCTGCCCCAATTCCACAGACCCCATTAACTGGAATTTTACAACCTCGGCCCATTCCTGCAGGGGAAACTGTAATTGTTCCTGAAAACCTGCTGAGTAACTCAGGAGTTAGACCAGTAATTCTGATAGGTAAGGCCAAGGCATGCCAGGGTGCCTGTGTTCTCTGGAATCCAGGAGTGCTTCTCCATGTCATTGTATGTGGTCATTTATACCCTTATTGATTATTTGAGCTTTGATTGGTCAGTGCCTTCATGCTGTATTAAACATGTGATGAGAAGCCGACAGTAAGGCAGGTCTTCTTGCCCTCCAGGAACGCTGTTTGGCCGGGATGTCTGGCCCCTGACCAATACTAGGAGTGAGAAGCATCACAACGTACTGTTAGGAAACAAAGGAAAAATGCAGAGGTGGGAGCTAGCAGAGGCCACAGTCAAGAGCTCTGATAACTCAGAGAGAGAACACTTTCCTCTGCCTGAGGGCCTGAGAGGACTTCTCAGAAGTGTCTAAGCCAGATCTTGAGGCTGCTAAGAGTGGACAGGATGGGGAGGGGACATTCCAGACAAGAAAGCCAAACCACAGGGCAAAGAAACCAGCTAAGCCAGTTACCAGCCTCACTCACAGGGGCCAAGGAGCCCCATAGGTGGAGAGCTGAGCCTGGGTAAGCACCTTCACAGGAGTGTCCCCAGAGTCTGTGTGGGGACAGCCTACCTGAAAGTGGAGGGATAGACATATAGAGGCCCCCAGATCACAGGGCTAATAGAGTGTATTTCATACTCACATGGAAAGTCCTCTCCACTGGGGCTAGCCCAAGCCAGGAGGGGACTGTCTGCATTACCAGGAGAACACAAAGAGGGTGTGATTACCCAAAGGGTCGTCTGTTCTTGAGGTTGGCCTCAGTTCGCCAGCTTGGTTTAGCTTCCAGCCCTGTCCTCTATCAGGCCCCTTTCCACTGGTCCTAGATGTGTAGGCATTGTGGGAATCCCCCTTGTTTAAATCCTGCATGGAGGGCTGGCGAGATAGCTCAGTGGACTAAGCGCCTGCTTAAGCAAGCACAGGGACCAGGATTCAATTCCCAGCACCACATGCCACACTGGCCCTGCCCCTGGGCGCATTGAGCTGGCTACCAAGTCCAGGCCTGGTGGCACATGCCTGTAATCCCAGTGCTGGGGAGGGTGAAAACAGGAGGATCACTGAATCTGAGCTGCATAGTGAGATCCTGAACCACATACATAAAAAACAAACAAATAAATAAATAAATCCCACATGGTTTCATGGTTTGGGAAGTTCTTTCTGGACCATAGTATAGTGCAGCAAAGCCTTGGAGAGACACATGAAACTTGGAATTCTTTTAGAAAGCCTTTCAGAGGAATTGTCCTGTCCACCAGACCACCAGAACGTTGTATTTTCAACATAGTTGTGTCTTATCTACTTCTAAGATAACATGAGGCTATTTACTGACATTAAAGAAGAAATCCTAACTAAAATCACTAAGAACAAAAGGAGTTGGAACCAGGCATGGTAGCACACACCTGAAATCCCAGCACCTAGTAGGGTAAAGCAGGAGGATTACCATGAATTTGAGGCCAGCCTGAGCTACATAGTGAGTTTGAAGGCAACCGATACAACAAAGCGAGAGAGAGAGAGAGAACACCACCAAGCACAACTAGCAGAATATGACTGTCTGTCAATCACTGAATTTTGCTGAACAGATTTTTTCCCCAAAACCTCAGGAAGTGAAACATGTCATTATGGTTCATTTACTTTCTCATCTGAAAAGAGATATGATCAGGAATTTTCGCAGAAGATATTCTATCATCACTGTTTTACAAAAGGACAGAAACACTTTGCAAACTCGTCCATCTTCTATGGCAGCAGGATAACAGTAACATCCCTTCGGTGGGAAACAGAAAAGTGATTTCAATATCTTGCTTCGTGTTCACCTGCTTTAATAGAGAGATAGAGCTTGTAGAATCCAAGTGAATTGTGGGGCCGGAGTGTTGGAGTTGTGTGTTCACTTGTTTTGGTAGCCATCTCAGAGGGCAGGGAATGTTGTGGCGCATCTTCCTCCCTCATTCAGCAAATGTGATAGGTTGGATCTCAGAAGGCAATGCTGTATTGTACTGACCTGCTTCTGTTGGGGCAGGCTATGGCACTTTACCCTATTTCTATGGAAATGTCGGTGACATTGTGGTGAGTCCGCTGCTGGTGAATTGCTACAAGATTCCACAATTGGAAAACAAAGATTTGGAACAATTAGGGTTGGCTGGCAGCCAACTCCTGAGTATGGAAAATCTGATCCTTCTGACGATACAGTATCTCGTGCGGCTTGGTAAGTTACTTTGGAGCCTCCTTTGCTGGGGACCATTTTTATGGTGCAGTGCTGTTTCCTTTCTTTGTCATGTTCGTCCACCTGTCTGTCTGTTTGCCTTCTTGCTTCTAGCATTCTTCTCCTTCAGCCTCATCCTCTGTCACTTTCCCTTTCCTCTCCTCCTGGCTGCCTCCTTCCCTGCTGCGTCTTTGCATCCTAACAAAGATGGACTGCTCCCCCTAGCGCCCTCCGCGCTCCAGAGCAGCTGCTGCAGGCAGAGCCCAGCCTCAGCACCCTTGCCCCGGGGACCTGGCCAGGCTGACTTCCCTGAAGCTCGCTGTGAAAGCATGGCTGTTGTTTTAGACACTTTATTTTCCAGCTTTCTGACTAACCTTTTCATTTTGTTTGTCTGCTTTCCCTACACCCAATTTTTTTCTTCTGCTACACCCGTTTCCCATAGCCCCAGGTTTTCCTTCACGTAGGCAGTAACTATGGGCTTCTCTGGAAGGTTCTCCAGGGTTAGGTAAGGGGGCTGCCTAGGTCATGAACCCTTCACTTTCCCTGCTGCTGTTGCCCTGGAGCCCCCGTGGATGCATGCAGGTGTCCTGACAATACTGTTGTTCGGCAGCATTTACATTGAAATGTCCTTTATTTTGCAAACCACAGCAAGCCACTGAATATGCCATCAAATTATACACTCACTCCAGGAATCAAGCTGCTGATTTACTTAGAAAGATGTTTGAGATGTAAAATTACACAGAAATGATTTTGTATGCACTCTCCTGATTTCTTCTTAGTGTTGGGGGAAAAAAGATGTCTTAAAAGAACAGTAAAAATACTGCAATCAAACAGCGTTCACAAAGCACAAGTTTTGCCAGCCAGGCTGGCCTCTTAGCATCAGGTAGCGAACTGTCCATGCCCAGACATGCGAGGTGACCAGCTCCCCTTTGAGAAGGGCCGTGGAGCGTGTACAGCTTCCCATGAGCACCCCTGTCAGGCCAGACCTGGGCCCTGAAGACCATGCCTAGAGGGAGGTGATAAATCGTAACAACACCTGGCTTCACCACTCTTTCACCTCTCACTTGTGGTGATTTTAATTTGCTCCATACAGACTTTGGACTCAGATGGTCTTCAAACCCTGAAAGTAGTTTCTAGATTACCCAGAATCAGTTAAAAATAAATAAATAGAAGTTCATATACATCAAGCCATTTGCTGTATTTTTTTTTTATTTTTATTTTTTGCTTTAGTACTGGGAATTGATCCTAGGACCTATGCACCGAGCTGCACCCACAGCCTCTACTTTAAATTTATGCCTTATTTTGAGATAGGCTTGCTGAATTCCCCAAGTTGCCTCAGCCTTCTGAGCCACTGGGATTAGTCACTGTATCATTTTTTCAACCTTCCTAATGATTTAAGAAGCCAGAGTCCCAGCTAATTAAATAAACCACATGGTCAAAATAAAACTCCTTTCATTAAGTGACTAACAGCTCTTATCTTTTCAATTTAGAAAATTTCCATTCAATTACAGAAGACTTTTTCTGCCCCCAGGATCAGCTCACTCTCAAATTTTACCCAGTCAGAGTTCTCAGCACCCAACACGAGCAGCAGTTTCTTCCTTTCCTTCTCTTTCTCCCCTCCTTTGGTTCAGCTTATTCTTTTCTTTTTTTGTACTAGGAACTGAACACAAGTCTTTGCACTAAGTTATGTCCATGCCCCTTTATATAAATAGAGATAGATAGATGGAGAGATAGACAGATAGATATAGGGTTGTTCTGTTTTGTTTTGTTTTGTTTTGTTTTTTCGGAACTGAGGGTTGAACTCAGGCCCTTGCACTTGCCAGGCAAACATTTTTTCTGCTGAGCTATCTCCCCAGCCCCCACAGCCCTTTATATTTTAAATTTCTTTTTACTCTAAACTTTGTAAATTGGGATTTCTTTGCTCTTCAACTCCTGTTCAGGAGTCCTTGAAAAACAAAATTGGCCTTCAGAGATTTTCAGTGCAATAAGGATAAATGTAAGAGGGGCTGGAGAGATGGCTCAGTGGTCTAAAGCACCTACTTAGAACAAGCTTAGCAAAG